TTTTTTAAAAAAGAAATACAGAACCTCTCGGTTCTGGCTCCTGCCATTTTGGGGAGCAACAGTCCGGTTCCTATTCCCCCAGCAAGTCAAATATGAAAACAATAAAGACACACACACACTCCTCCCCATTATGGCTGAGAGGCTCGAGTGGACGGCATTGATTACTTCCCTGGGGAAGGATGTACCACCCCTCACCCCTGCCTAAGCTAGCCAATATCCACTGCCTCCTGATCCTATGCGTCGCCTAGCTCCTAGCTCCTCTCAGCTAAGTGCTGTCRTATAAACCTGAACGCTAGAGCCGATGTTTGGAGCTGGCTTCTAAGGTTTTGCAAAGGATTGTTTCTATGCAGCTCTACCTGATCATAATAAGACAACTCGTGTGAACTTGCTCCTTCTTGATTTCTATGGGTTTTTTTTTTCTCTAACCTTCGCTCTTCTCAGTTTTTCGGTTGCCAGGTACTCTATATCCTATCTGCACTGCTGTTTCTGCCTTTGGCCTTTTCTTAAACCCTAAACCCTAGACTTTTCGGGTCATCTGTTGTAGGCGGTTTGTGCTTTTGTCCTTTCCTTGAGGGAGCTATTCCCTCGTCTTCAACGGTTTTAGCCCATCCTTTTAGTACCTAGTTCGCCCAAAAGTTTAACATGTCCGTGGTTCCGTTTGTTAGCGGGGGTTGTGCCGTTGGTCCCCTTCTTCGAGTTCCATGTGCAGATATTATGGATTAATTCAGGCCTAACGTCATGTCTGTCAGATGGGTTCTGATTCTTGATGTTACTATCGGCTGTGAGTAGGTTAGGTGTGTGTATCTCCATTGTCCAAACTGGATTTTGTTGTGGTTTATTACTGCTATTTTGAATTTTCCCTTCTCCTAGGAATTGAAACGGTATTCACCAATTTGTGGTAGCTGAGACAGATCCCAGGGCTCGATCCCTAGTTTCCCAACTTACCTGTGTACAATACCTGCGTCAACTCGAAGAGTTGAACCTGCGACCTGTAGAACCGCCAGTGGTAGGTAGGTCTGTCGTAGGTCTATAGGTAGTCAGGATTYGAGCCGTAGACCTGTAGATTAGAAGGCTAGCTGCAGTCCTTCTAGAAGGTTGGCAAGTGGGCAAGTGGTGCAGGCAAGTGGTCAAGTGGTGCAGGCAAGTGGTCAAGTGCTGCAGGCAAGTGGGCAAGTGGTGTGACTAAAGCAAGTGCAGTCCTTCTAGAAGGTTGGCAAGTGGTCAAGTGGTGCAGGCAAGTGGGCAAGTGGTGTGACTAAAGCAAGCCCATGTTGGAGAGAGTCCAGAAAGTACCAGTCCGGTCCAGCAAGTACCAACGGGGGAACTGTGTGCACCATGGGCCAGGGACACAAGGCAGAC